CCCCCACGACAGCCAGAGACAGACCAGTCCCACCATTGCGGGTTTAGCATCTTTTATTTAAGGTCAAACTGAACATACAAAACATGGAACTTAACAGGTCCAGCACTATTTGCTGGACCTTCAGCTTCACCCCCGTGTGTGTCCTTCTCTCTCCCGAGTCTAGTGCGTCCTGAGCGTTTCTAGTGTTCTCTCAGTGTTCTCCCGTGTTCTCGGAGTCCTCAGTGTTCCTCTCGAGGCAGCTCTGCTGCCTCCTTTTAAAGTCTGAGGATCAATCAGCTAACAGCTCTCACCTGTGCTGATTGATCCTCAGTGGTGCAGGTGAAGGTGCTCTCTCCGCCCCTTCACCTCCACAATGACAAACTGAGTTTTCTCCTAGATTGTCTGACCTAATCACTCCTTTTTTCGTGTCTCTGTGTTGGTGACAGTAGACAGAGGCATTATGTTGTTAATTGTCCATCTGTACATGTGGATGTCCATCTGTCACATTCACATGATATCTTAAGTACGTCTTGAGGGATACAATTATGATATAATGGCATTTTATGTCTGAATCCACCTCCCTTACTCTTGTGAATATGCCAGAATAATATTGTCTGAAAACTGTCCCATCTGAAATGTGTTGGGATCTGTGTTTCATAGGGCCTCGGATTCAGTATTGTTGGTGGGCAGGACTCAGCACGTGGTCAGATGGGGATTTTTGTTAAAACCATTTTTCCTCATGGAGCTGCTGCAGCTGATGGACGGTTGAAAGAGGGTAACTTAACTTTTCATTCTCTTCCACTGAATTGAGAGCGCTGGATATAGAAGAGTTAAATATTTATTATGAGAGAAACAGTCATAGACATTTACACGTGTGCTTGGACATGCATCTTATTGTAATTCTGTGCTTCTCTGTGCAGGAGATGAGATTCTGGAAGTGAACGGAGAGTCTCTCCAAGGACTCACACACCAACAGGCCATCCAGACCTTCAAGGTAGACTTCATGTCATCTTCACATAAAAGAATGCCTTCGACTAATCTGCTTACAATGCCAGCAAAGTCACTGACTTCATCACATTTTTAGTGAAGCAACTAAGGACTTTTTAAAGAGCAGTTTTATTCATAGTGGAAAAAACATCTGTCTTCATCTCTACTTCATTAAATGGTTCGTATTTATATTTTCATATATAAACCTCACTTCTATTTTTTCCAACAGCAACTGAAAAAAGGTGTCGTGACACTGACAATTCGCACTCGTCTGCGCAGTCCCAGCCTGACACCCTGTCCGACCCCCACCCTCCTCAGTCGCTCCAGCTCACCCAACTCCAACACCAGTGGAGGAACACCTGTCCCCTCAGGGTTTGAAGAGGCTGATAGCCGCAAGGGCCCGGTTCCCGGTCCGAAAGACTGCGTCATCATGGAGGTCACCCTTAATAAAGGTTACTTAACTTAATAAAGAATTCCCTTCCTTTGAGACTAAAGGGTTTATGTGTGTATGTCCTCATACTTGAACTGTATATATAGTGTATCCTAGTGTTGTGATAGTATCAATACATGTTTTTGCCAGATGTCATACATTGCAGAAAAGTCTTGTGTCTCATCTGCAGTGATCTCTTGTTTTGAGAAAACATCTGCTCTGACAGTGAATGTTGATTTATTTAGAGCCTGGTGTTGGTCTGGGGATTGGAGTTTGCTGTCTGACCTTGGAAAACTCTGCTCCTGGCATCTACATCCACAGCTTGGCACTGGGATCTGTGGCCAAGATGGATGGCAGGCTCAGGTAGAATGTATATGTAGTCTCACTGATGCAAAGGTAGTAAATGAGCAACATGCTTCAATATGGGATCATTAACAGTGTTCATGACCCATTTATTGCTCATATAATGTTGGTCCATGAGTGTAATTATATGTGTGCATTGATGTTGTTGCATGCACAACGTGAGGTCCTTGACTGGGTTGTGCTTCTCCTTGCAGTCGAGGAGATCAGATACTGGAGGTGGACTCAGTCAGTCTTCGACATGCTGCTCTCGGTGAGGCTTATGCCATCCTCAGTGAATGTGGCCCAGGATCAGTCAGTCTCATTATAAGCAGGCACCCAAATCCTAAGGTAAGACAACACCTGTTTCTGTTTCTATAGACATATCCTTACTCTTTTAAAATTCATAACAAAAATCTACAGTTGTGTAGGAGCCCCAAAATCTGTAGAACTCAGCAGTTTGTGTCCCACAGGTATTCAGAGCATGTAAACTAACTTGCAAAACCATTTTGTGGACAGTAGATCAACCATTAATTTGTTTCAAAATTGACACATATTATTTATATTCAAAGAGACCTGTAACCGCTATTTGCAGTAAGAATGCAACTTTTTATTGTTAAATTTTACATGAACACAAACTCCACATTAAAACCTACTTTAAATGTGATTAGACCTTTGTTTAAAATGTAAATGTAAAAACAGATTGTTTCAAATCTGATCGCCAGACTTGAAATGTATTTTTCCCTTTTCTGTCTTTTTCATTTCTGTGTTGTCCAGAAGAGGGCAGCATAAACATATAACATAGACAAATGCTATATATACACAGTATATCATGTCTTATACATCTGTATCTTCATGTCTATGCTCTATATGTATATGGGTTATTTAATTTGCAATTATGATAAAAGTGCATTTCCATATTTCTCAGGTTTCAGAACAGGAGATGGATCACATTATAGCTCGATCCACACACAGGGACAAAATGAGCAGGAACAGACACTCAACTCACTCCCAAGGTCTGATATGTTTACCTAAATTTTAATTTGGCTTTCCTCTCCTTTTATTGTCTAGTACATTGTGTGAACTAAGTTTTCAACAGCATGGCCAAATATGTCTTTTTGAAAATGTTCTGGGTATTTGAGCTCTGTGGGTTTAACTGCCACTGTTGTTAACCACAGGTCTGTCCAGTAAGAGCCCCTACCCAACGATGAAGGACAGACAGGGAAGTGGCTCGCCTGCTCTCAGCTGGACCATGAAGAGATTCCTTGAGCCTGCCAGCAGAGTATGTCTTCATCTAGTATTCAGAAATGATTGCTTAGTTCATAGGTTTTGGGAGATTTGGAGATGCAGCCTACAATATGTATACATTCTTGGTAGTCTTTCTTTCCACAGTTACCAAGTGTGTGCACGTCGTGGGAACTCTTGGTTTTCCCTATAATATCATAAGAACACAATTCAATTCAGTTTTATCTGTACAAGTAAAAGTGAAAAGTGTTATTGTTGTTAGTAACTACTGTTGACATCATTTACATTATGTAATTGGATGTTTAAAGCTTTAAAAGTCTTAAAATTGAGAGTTAAATTTATGTTGTCTGACTGTTTTATTGAAAAGGCATAAAAAAAAACTGAAAATTGAATGTTAGGAATTCAATTAAACACAATCAAATTCATACGAGAGACCATCTGGTGAAGGGGATTGATTGGATGGGTATTATTTAGACTGGGATAACAAAGTTGGCCATGGATGTAATATGGGAGGACATTGTTCACTTTTTGATCTCAACTACATGCCTCTTTTACACTAGAGACATCATCACAGTAACAAAATCTATTTGCAGTCAAGTTAGACGGACAGACATCTGTCAAATTGTTCCAAACCACCTCTGTGGGAGTTTTTGCTGCTGTGGGTCTTCCCATATTTTGTGATGATGACACACAAACAGACTCACAAGGTGAAAACAACATCAACGCACAGTAACCCGCCTGGTAACTGCTGCCTCATCACTATCACGCTTATATATACTTGTGTATCTTTTAGATCCTAAAGTGCGTTTGATGGATTTCCTCCGTATACAACATTTGAGTTTTTTACACCCATGTTTACATATGTTTCTATCTTTCTTGCTGTGTTTCCATGAGCAGTTGTTCTGATCGGTACAATGGAGTTAAACTTTCATATACATGCATTGTGATCATCTTCTCTATTTACCTGCATATTTTAAGTTCAGTACTTCATTTTCAATGGCTTTTTTCTTTGTCTACATAGTCAAATGTTGACATCATAAAAATTATGGAGAACTATGTCAAAAATGTGGCGGTAGTGGTTTTCATTTTTCTTTCACTTAACTTGTTCTTCTTCCATTCTCACAATTCTGAAGCAGGGGTCCCTGAGCTCTGAGACAGAGTTATCTCAGTACTTCTCCCAGGACGTGTCCAGCCACTCGTTCCTGTCTGACTCCATGCTCATGGGCTTGAACAGTGACGAGGCTCTCCACCAGCAGAGGTGCAGTACGTCCATGGATGACAGCACGTCACAGACACATGGTACATTTTCAACTGTTTAATTACAATGGAAAATGTGTAGAATTGGTTACCTGGACAGGAATCACAACTTTCTGTAGAGTGAGGGGACTTTCAAACTGCAGCCATGCACCAAAGAATCAAGTCGGAAAAGATCCTGAACAGAGATTTGAGTCTGGACTAAATGTGGTCACAGGGTTAGCTCTCATACACAGTTTGATTTATTTTAGATTTTTTGGACTTTTTAGATTAAACAGGAAGATCATATGGTATTTTTTGCTGTCAAAATTGCAATGCAGACTTTTGAGCTTCCAAAGCTCTGAACCAGCCATCATTGTCTCTTAATGTTCTCTTCAGTCAAGAGACACCAGCAGGTTTATTGACCAGAGATTTCAGATGTGCTGGGAGAGAGATCCCACCCATGTGGCTCTCTCTGAGACTTAATAGTTTTTTATTTGTAGTTTTTCCTAACTATTCTCGAGGGTTTAGAACAGTGGATGTTGCACCTTTTTAAAGGGATAGTTCACCCCAAAAAGTTAAAATTCACTCACTATATATACTCACCACTATGCCGATTGAGGGGTAGGTGAAGTGTTTGAGTGCACAAAACACTTTTGGAGTTTCAGGGGTAAACAGGGGGTCAATTCTTCAAAAAGGTGTCCATAAGCCCCAAATTAAATTTCGATTGGAAATTGCGTCATTTACATGTTTTAGCCTAAATGTCCTCTGTTGTCCTCCTAGTTACTGCTGCAGTTATCGTGAGGTCTCGCTGCAGTAACAGTAGCTTTCTCATGAGTTTTCGCGATAGCTGCAGTCACTGATGTATTTTTCTGTTTAAAGAAGTGGTCACCAGTTACTTCAATTGTATTGGATTTGGCTGCAACACTGTTTACCCCTGGACTCCTCAAGTATTTTGTGGACTCAAAACACTTCACCTACCCCTCAATCGGCATAGTGATAGGCTATACAAATAAGATTTGATTGATTGATTGATTGATTGATAATGTGACCTTGTTTTTTTACAGCCTAAAATCCTTGTATTATTTAAACACTAAAGACATATTTTTCAGTTTTTACCCAATTAATTTCAATTTTATTTGTAAAGCACCAAATTGTAATATAAATAATCTCAAAAACCATTAAAATGACTGTTTGTTTGTTAAGATGTTGATTGTTGTTTTAACATCTCTTTTTGAATTAACCACATTACCTGCATCTTATTCTGCAGCATTCACCCCCTCCCTAATAGAGGTGGAGAGTGGTCCTGTGTACAACACTTCACACGACAAGACCCCTGTTCCTCTTGATCACCATGGAGAGGAAGTTTGCCAGCCCATTGCCGTCTCTAGCCCCACTTCAGTGCGAAGCCCACTTCTCCGCCAGCGACGAGTGATGTGTTTTGAGGAGGAGTTCAGTGATGAAGAGGACGCTGGAAACACTGAGCACTCCCACAGACCAACAAAATCTGATTCTGTTAACTTAAGTGATGCCCAAACTTCCCAGTTTTCCAAAACTGATTCAATGGTTGATGTTGCTACATCTGTTACATCATCATTAGATGTGGATGGGGACAGTAAAGATGGTGGGGATTTAAAGAGGTGGGGAAGCAATGATATGACAACACCACTCAATGGAAGTTTCTTACAGCAAGTGGAAAGTATTACCAATAAGTCAAAGTCACCTGGTTCTGAGTCGCCCTTTATGCCCATCCGATGTCACTTAGATGAAAAAGCAGGGTTGGCAAGCAGTACGAGCTCTGTGCCCAGTAATTTGACCATCAGTAGTGAGAGCCATACAAATCCAGATGATGGACAGTTGGAGTCCAAGCGCTCCCCCAAGCTTGAGCATAAAGCAGTTACGCGGGTCAAAAGTATGATGAGCATTGAAGCCCCAAACCTGCTCCAGCAGCCAAAGTCCAAAGTTGATGAGCTCTCTCTGTCACAGCCCTTATCCCAGCCTACACAGTGTGGGAAAAGCCCTGGGGTTGCTGGTGGGTCGATATCCCATCAGCAGTGTAAGAAGGGAGAGATCAGTGAACTAGTGGGTGTTTGTGCCATTGACACTGTGACCCTGCGGAGAAGTGAAGATGAGTCTTTCGGGCTTGACCTGGAGATTATGTCGTCCCCTCTGAAAGTTGTCATCACAGGGTTGAAGCCTGGAGGTGCAGCATCAAGGGTAGGTCTGACTGGTTTCATCTTTGTATCGCTTCAGTATTAGTGAATGGATGCATCAGATCTTCTGCTTAATCTCTCAGTTTGAATTATTTTAATAATAAAAACTTTGACTTTGATTGTGAACTGGCAAGTATATTACTCAATGAAAAAAGTTGTATCTCTTGTGTTTATTTGTTTTTTCCAGGGATCTTCAGCCCTGCTGTGTCCTGGAGATGAGATTGTAAAAATTGGAGAAAAGCTAGTGTGCTCTTCAAGTTACCAGGAAATCTGTGAGCTGATGCACAACCTTCCTATGACACTGTGCTTAGAGGTCAAGAGACCAGTTTCAGGTAAGACTTCCATTTTGAACCATGGTATTGTGGAATTATAAGTTCTAGTATCAGTGCCGATGCTACTGTTTTCCATTTAACTTAGCTCTGATAGTGAATGTCAGACTGAGGTGAGGTGCTTTACATGCTCGTACCACTTGAATAGGAGAGTGGACAGGAGCAGTTTTGCTGCGATGTAATAGGATGTTGTCCAACAACATACAGTCCTTTCTTATTCATTTAGCACTCTCAAAATGTAACAGTATATTATTAAAGGAAAATTCCATTTTATTTTAACCTGGTGTATTTCACATAAATGTGGCTGATGTGACTGGCTCAGAGCCACAGATTCATTTGTTGTAATTTAGCTACACAGCTGGAATCACTCTCAGCCACAGACAAATCAAGATTTTCCATGAGTGAAAGAATTCCAAGCAGTTTGACCTGAAGTGTTTGGTCTACAGTAACAGTTTTAAAATGCAAAATGAATCTTCCATCTACCTGACTCCTCTGTCAAGTAGCTAAATAAAATGTATATATATATTTATAAGGGCTCCAAATTTGTGAAATGTACGATCAGTGGAAAACTAATTTCACATGAATCCTGCAACAGGTCTGGACAATTTGTAAATAATTTTCTTGTTGTACCTTGTAAGAAAACCCCAGAAATATGAGAAAATTGGTGAATGCATAGTTCACCTAAATCTTTTGTGCTCACAACTATTTTGTTTTGCGAAATATTTCAGCTGGCATGTGTCTGTGTGCAAGGTGCACACAGAGATGTCTGGCTGGAATTGCCAATTGTCTCCATGAAGCCATTTTTAGACCAACTCCACAAAATTCACCATTTTCTGTAGGTGACTGATGTTTTGCTTAACCTCTCTGCCTCATGACACCTCTAGTCAACCTACACAAAAGACAGGAGCGTGTCTACAATGAGCATCATATGTGCGCTCATCAGAGAGTTCACACTATAGGATAAGAATACGACCATGTTCTTGCATGAAGTCCATTAAAATCATTAATTGCTCTGCAGCACAATAAAGAAAATGTAAATGTTCTTGCAACTTTTGAATGCATGTGTTCCTAACTCTTTAACACCACTGCTCACAACACTCTGTCCACCTAGGACTTCTGCAGTATAACACATGCTTGTTTATCATACCAGCTGTCAATCAAACGCGGACATGCCCCTTCAGGTGCCGAGGGGAAGAGGGGCATTTCTGATATTTCCTCAGAGCTTTTATCTATCAAATTGAAGATTTTCTTTCTATCAGTGGTGGTTTACACCAATGTGTGATGTGTGTGGTGTATAATTTTGCTTCTTGTGTTTACACGTCATTAGTGGCAGAATGCTACTCAGTATGCCTTTAAATAGAGCACCATCTCTTTCCCTTTTATGCTGACCTAAGATGTAGGATCAACCTTCCCTCATTCACTTTCCCAAAGCAACCTGCAAGCTTCTGGCTTTCTATCCATGGTGACTATCTTATACAGTATATTTTAGTTTTAGTAATACTAGAGTTACCTTGTAGTTTCACTCCCTGTATGCTTTCTACTATATGTAGTGTAATCATTTCTCCTTATATTGTAGCATAATGTGAATTTTATCTGAGTGTAGTACAGACATTGCTGTGGCTAACTGCAATCTTCACACAGGGGTCAGTTTATTTGATTACAATCAAGATTTGTGAAAATGTTCAACACCCTGACAGTTTGCTGGTGAAGGGTTGCATTTGATTGAAATATGATCCAATTTGAGATTGATATGGTCAGAAAAAACAGTGACAATGTTTCATTCCTGTCACTTTTCAGTATATTTGGTGAATATCCTTGGTGAATATCCTGGAGCAACCACAGCAATGTCTGCAGTCAAGTCTTTAGCACCTGAAAAAAACCTGAAAATGTGTCCACATTTCTTTCTGTACTGATCACTTCATTCATTTCTGTCTACCAGACCACAGATGTTTACACACTTTATGATCTAGGAATATCACTTTGTTTATTATCAAACATTTACAAGCAACCCTCTCATTGATCCCTCTGTTGCTTTCATGAATGAGATTTTGATTTTGTTTGTTATGAAGAAATCCTACAGATCATCACCTTTTTATGACGATTACTGAACACCGCTCACCCTGGATATCCTTGATTTATTTTATTCTATGGCCTCACTTGTCCTCACTTCGTTGCAAGATTAAATACAATTTCTGGAGTGTTTTGGGAAATAAAATTAACATGTCATGTCAAATGATTTAGTCTGCACTTGCTTACTGCTTACTTTTCATTTCTGGTTCCAGCTGTAGATCAACTGTCCAGTTTGATAATGTCATCAGGGAGCAGTGAAGGAGCCATCAGACGGAATCCAGCCAGAGCTGCTCATGGAACATCTGATGAAGGACAAATAATCTGTGCAAATTCAGGGAACCACACGACCCACACAGATCATGACTTTCACATACCTGTCACCAATATAGATGACATTTTATTAGAAGTGAGCCCCTGTGGTGATAAAAATATACGCATGAATCCCCCCTACAAGACCTCATTAAATGAGCCTATATCCTGCTGTTCAAGCCAACACACTGTGGCCCTGTGTGAAGAAACTGCCTTTCACGTTCCAACACAGCCCACTCCCCTGGACTGCTCCATCCTGGATGCAGGAAATGAAAAATTTGCCACACTCCCTGTGGAGACATCACATGTGAACCAACCAAAGGAAAATTCTGGGTCTAAAATCATGTACCCCATAGGAGATGACAGTGATTCAAACAGTGAATCCACCGCTGACAGCAGCCTAATGGTCAATAAGATAGTCAGCAGCGGTGCACATCTTCATGAGCTCTCTTCAGATGAGGAAGAAGTGGAGATTTTTTCTTGTGATGTCCAGCAACCCCCTGCTGGTGGACAATTTTATTTAAGCCAGAAACTGAAAATGTCCTCGCTCTTTCAGGATGGCAGCAGTCAAGATACAAACCTGACTCAGACCTGTGATGGGGTGCAGGTTTCCTCTGAGGTCTCAGCGAGTAACAAAGAAAACTCTGTGACAACAAGCCAGTGCTTACAGCTTTCTCAGTTGTTCAGTGACTCCTCCACAGACCAACCACGCCACTCTTCTAATGGTACAATACCCATGTCTTCTACAGAGTGCCACATTAATAGTGCCATTCAATCCTGTGACAGAGTATGCATAGCACCCACTTCTGGTAGCTTAAGCATTTACAGCAGCCCTTCCCCTCAACATGCCCCTAGTGTCACAGAGGGTATGACTAAAAATCTGCATGCAGATGCCTCGCTGACATCAGATTTACAGAAGCATTTGAACAGAAACCTATCCCTCTTGCCTTTAATGGAATCAGAGGCCTCATGTTCACACATTAGTAGATCAGACACAAGAGTGCCAGCATCAGTGACAAACAAAGAAAAAGTATTAAAATGTAGAACTAATTTAAACCCCAATGCTACCTCATCACTTGCCAAGACCACTAGCCCAAAATTAAAGAATGATTCAGACTGTTCTGTGTGGAGCAGTATCTTTAAACTTCAGGTTGAATCTCAAATCAGACCAAACACTGCTCCCAAACTGAAAGGCCTAAGTATTAAGAGTAAGAACAAACCACAGGAAGAGCCCCTCCAAAAACCTACCAGAACTGAAAGTCAGTTTTCTTCAAACACCTTTTCCTCTTTGACCCAGTCAGCAAAATTATCACAAGTGACAGACATGTCCAGTTGTTCGACAGCCAATAACCAGACTGATATAAACAGCTGCCTTGCTTTGCCAAAAGTTAGTGACATAAGTCAAGTTACACCTGAGCACAGGCTTGCAGATGGCCCATTACAAACTGTGCAACAAGCCAAAGAGAATGGCATCCAATTAGGTTCCAATGCAACAGCCAAACCACAATCACTCCAACATTCCACTCAGAGAACATTTATAGAAGTTAAGCTGTCTTCCTTATCTGGTTCATCCTCAGCACTGCTGACACACTATGAAAAAGGTCATTCAGAAGATTCTAAGCACACTCAAAGAGGCACACATGCAAGTTTATCACCAATGCTTTGTCCTGACATTTCCACAGAAGAAAAAACAAATGCCAAGGTCTGCAACACAGGATTTAATTCAACCACAAGTAATAGCTCAAACCCAACTTATATTGTGGAGACAAGTGACACCCTAAAGTCCAGCACATCCAGACTGTACATAAAGACAATGGAAAGGCGAAGTTTCTCAACAGACAACACTTTGTCAGCAGACTACAACCCCTTCTCTGTCCGACACAAGATAAAGTCTTTTGAAAACCTGGCTCACTTTGACAAGCCTGTGGCTAGAAACAATGACATTCAGTCATATGCTCTGGCATATAGAGCCTCACTTAACCAAAGGATTGCTGGTTATATTGGTTTGGTTAATTCTATTGGCTCTCGGACACGGCAAAGGGGTCTTACCTCTTATGTGGTGACTCAAACCCCTACCACACCCTGCTCACCTTTTCTTGGTAAACCCAGGTCTAGCATTACACCGATGAACCTTGAGTATCCAGATACAAGCTGCAACATAACTCCACTGTTGGAGGACAATCCTGAGGCTGGGGTTCAAAATATGCCAGATGGGATTACTTCACAGACCCCTCCGGTGCTGCGGAGGAAACATGGCAAACTTCCCCGCAGCAGGATGCAGCAGCTCAGGGCTCTCAGTATGCCTGAACTGGAAAAGCTATGCACAGAGGACTTTGCTAGAGAGCATGGTACAAGCATAGATAAAACTGAGCCAGGAATCCATCCTACAAGTCTTTCGAAGGCCACAGGAACTAAGAGATGTCCACCCTCTGCAACCCTGACAAAAGTAGATGTTAACATGGTGAACCAAGGTGAGCCTGGATCCACAGAGGAGACTCCTCAGAGACCCTCCGAGACCCATGGACAACAGCCCAGCTGGTCAATCAGGTGGGCAGTTCAATTCAAAACTGATCATATGAATCCTTTGTGTGTAGGAATCCAAAATGTCTGATCTTATCAAGGAAGAAGGTACTGTCACTGTGTTGTGTGTGTGTGTGTGTGTGTGTCTGTGTGTGTGTGTCTGTCTGTGTGTGTGTAAATTAATATTTCCCTCCAAATGTCAAATGTAATACAATATTTCTCTATGTATATATATTTCTCTATATTCTAAAATTAAATAGAAAATGCTATATCACATCTTAAATGATGTGATATAGCATTTTCTATTTAAATGTTGAATTTGACAGTTCTGTGGTTGTTTACTTATTTTGCCACTGACATCTAAAGCCAACCAAATCTGACCCACAGCCTTTTGGAAGCAGATTAGCTTTGAGATTAGTTTGGAAGTTTCTAATAAATATCCAATGCAATGCATTTCACTGTATATATTCTGTCTTTAGACTCTATATATTTGTCTTTATTCCATCCATATTTTAATTTTCTTACATTTCTCTACAATTATGGCATCTTTATTTATTGTTGCTTACCAATGTACATTTTTGACTGCCCTCTTGCTGCTGTAACATTGCAAATTTCCCCGTTGTGAGATGAATAAAGGATTATCTTATCTTACTTATCTTATAAATAATTAGCAATAGGCAATTGGTTAATTTTGTTAATTTACCAGGGGGGAGTGGTTTTGCTCCAACACATAACTGCTGTGCATGTATTTCAACAAGTTTCATGACAATCTGTGAACCAACCTCAAATCACATCCTATGAGATAACTGTGCCTCATTTCACTGTATTTTTCCCATTTCTATGGGAAAAAATGATGTACAGTGTGTTCATTTTAACTCCTTTTGTCCGCAGTTTAAAGGAGCTGGCTACCTCTCCTGTGAGTCAGTGTAAGCTGCAAACACTGCTGCTCTCCCTCACAGCTAGATCATACGTGGAGTCCCTGCTTCAGGAGGCCAGGGCCCTCTCTGAGGTAACATCGCACCACTAATTCATGTCATTTAATCTTTAACGGATTCCTTAGACTCTGTAGTTACAGTCCTAGATTCCATATGAATTCCTTATAAATTCCTTCATGTTAAATCTGTGTCTGAACTCTCTGCAGGTTAATGTCATAACTCAACTTGTGGTCCTGAGTAAAGAAGAGGGTTCAGGGCTTGGTTTTAGTATTGCTGGTGGAGTTGACCTTGAGCAGAAGGCAATAACTGTAAGTACAGTATATAAATCCTCAAGAAAATTAAATGTACTGTGAATATGTTCCTTCAGACTAATCACATATTCTCATGCTGCTCAAGAAACCTTATCCTTGTGCTTTTTGCTTAATCAAACTACTGTACTCATCACTGTGTATTATCTGAAAAAAACAGTCCTCACAAGCAACAAGAAGAGAACGAGTTGCACAGGTTATGCCACAGAATCTGCCTCCTTATTTCATCTCTCAAATTGAATCACTGCTCACAAGAGCACATGTTTAACTATTCTTAGTCCTCTGAATTTGACACCTGAGAAATGGAATGAATTTTAAATTTTGGTTTTCTTAGTTTACTGGCTGATTAGATTTTTAGCTTGAATCTATTTAGGGATGTCTGTAATTATCTCTTATTCTGTGAGTGCTCTTGTAGCATGACTGGTAATATTGTCTTTAGCAAAAGACATCTTAATCCCAACAATATAACCTCATTCAACCAATTTAAACAAACACTCTTGGTTTTAAATCACCATCAAAAATAATGTTTAATGTGGTTAAAACAGGAACCTCAGTATACATTAGTCTGCATTTATTTCTAAATTAATAAGAGTTATTCTTACAGTATTTATTTAACTGATAACATTTTTTTTAAATTTTCCACTTCAGTTTATTAATGCAGCGTATGTATGAAGAATATAAATGATAAAGGAATAAAAGATACATTAATGTTAGTTTCTAATAATAGTAATAATAATGTAGAGACATGATTGGTTGTGTTTGAAAAGTTTTTGCCAATATCTCTGCGCAGTGGGGGGTGGTAGTGTAACAAATACTTTAACTTTGTGTCCAGGTTCATCGGGTCTTCACCAAAGGTGCAGCTAACCTCGAAGGCACGATCCAGAGAGGTGACAGCATTTTATCCATAAATGGCACAAGTCTGGAGGGTAAAACCCATGGAGAGGCTGTGTCCTGCCTTCACCAGGCCAGGCTGACCAGCCAAGCCTTAGTAGTCGTTTGGAGAGACAGTGAACTGAGTGCCTCTGATAGACGTGACTCGGTCAGCCAGACAAACAGTGTGCATTCTCCCAGGAAGTGTTTGGAAGCTGGGGCAGGTTAGTCCAATACTTGCATCTATAACAATATAAATATCCACATACCTGGATCATGTAGAGAACCTATGGTGGCCTTCAGGTGATGTAAAAACACCTAAGGTCATCTCTAGAGCCAGTGTTGGGTTTGTCCATTCTAGGCTACTGTATAAAGATGGTGGGGTAACATGGCAGAACTCTGTGGAAGGCGACCTGCTCCCCAATGCTAATTCGATTTGCTCATTTAAACATTGTTATAGTGTCAGTTAATTGTATTCTAATGAAAACATTTTATTTAGCTGCTACTATCCTTCAAAATCATACACACTGGACCTTTCATATTGCACTTCTGTAATTGTGTTGAATATCTCTCAGCGTTGGATGGTGGTCCAGATGGTGCTTTAATGGTGGACCTTCATAAGACCTCTGCTGGCCTGGGCTTCAGTCTAGAAGGAGGGAAATCCTCAAGTCATGGAGACAGGCCTCTCATTGTCAAACGCATCTTTAAAGGTGAACTTTCCTCTATGTCTCATATAACTCTATGATAAAGATAATACTCATTAAGAATCAAACAAAGTGATGTAATGTGTGTAGGTCCATTCCCAGTAGACTGGAGTATATTTGGATCACCTATGAGTCATATCACACAGGTTGTTGATGTCAATTTGTGCAAATCTGTCATGCCCTTAATCTGTAAACATATGATAATGGTGTCAAGGTACAGGTAGTGTTCGTTAAATGATGTTGTTTATGTTATTTATAACCACTAAACCTTTGGGCTATTTCATCTTTGTGTTAACAACTGCACAGAGCTAACACAGTTAACAAATAGAACCAGGAACAAAACCAAAATACTTGAAGGGTACTTTTCACTGCAGGCCGATCTCATGTCTTCTTTGTCTGCTCTACACTTCTCTGGTGTCTGTCCTAGACTCATACTAGATAGCCCCCAGCCTCTTAAGATGTGCAACCAATCAATCATGCTAAACCCGGGCTCCACTACTGGTCTAGGCTCTGCTTCACCTGCATCAATCCTAGTGCCAGACCCAGCGGAGAAAAGGGTCCTGCACTTCAGCATCCTTATATTCTGACCCTAATGGGAAAATTGACAGTCATTGCCATGCACAGTAAGAGATTAAAGTGATGTGATATGAATGAGAGTAGGGGATTCATTAGTTGATAGTCAGTTGTACCAGCTGTACCAAGGATGCAGACCTTACCTGAACCCACCCAGTTCACTTTTCTCTGTCATTTCACTAATTGGCAGTAGGGCCAGATCTCTCAGCTGTACTGTGGTCCTCATGTTAGCACTAGTCCACTGAGTTTATTTTGGTAAATAGACACAAAATAATGACACCAAAAAACTTTAGGGATGAGGGTAATCATTCATTATGCACTGCACAGTCCCAATTTCTCCTCTATTCTTGGTCTCTTGCTTCCACTATCTGACAGATGTACAAGAGGTAAGACCTATGGGTAAGACCCACCAATCAGAGTTGTACAATTATGGTAACCTGTGACCATGAGCGTAGTATTTTGAGGTGGCCTCTTTTTTTTTACTGCAAAGGTTTGTTAGTTGTTTGCTACCTAGGTTGAGAACTGAGCAGCCTGAACTAGAATGCAATTATTTTATAACTTGGTTTGATATAAAAACATGTAAATTCTCATCATTTGAACACAATTTCAAGCTTGCGCTCCTCTGTAAATTGTCCTCAAATTAGTGTGTGGTTGTCAAACTATCAATCGTTGGGATACCAAAACCATGGAGTGTATCTGCAAGTTAAGCTGGACTTCTGCTCCTCCACAACAGGAGGCGCTGCAGAGCTGTCGGGGCTTATCGAAGTTGGCGATGAGGTCCTATCTATCAATGGCTGTTCTCTGGAAGGTCTCATGCACCATGATGCCTGGAAAATCATCAAAGCCACAAATGACGGACCCAACCAACTTCTCATTCGCAAGTGGAGTACCTGACTGTAATGAACAAAATATGGAAACCTCCTGAAAAGGGACAATGTGAAGCTGCCCCCAAAACAGGGTATGGATGAGCAGCAGAAACCAGGACACGTTTTTTTTCCCACTTTTTTATAAATTTTCTGATGGACTCCATTGGAGATTTTGTGTTTTGTCTTGTTACCTGTGTTTGTAATAAAAATAGGTCAATTGATTGACCTTATTATTGTGGTGTATAATGCTGAATTATGATTTATTTCGGATGGGAAGTGCAGTTTGTTTACAGTAGATTTACTTTGGAATGATAAAATATGGTTCTTGGTTGTGCTTTCTTAAAATAAAGTCACTTTGTGAAAAGACCAATGGCTGGGCTTGTTTATAATATGCATAATTACCTATGAGATAACAATTGTTCGGTGGGGGGGATGTGTATCTTCTCCCAAGTGACTCAACATGACCTTGGTCTAGTGTAGTATTTCCTGTATGAGTGGGTTAAGTTACCTGTAACTGGGTAAGGGCATCTTGGCCCATACAGCATTACAGAAGATAAGATAAAAGAATATGATGTTTACAATACCGCTGCAAAAACAATGTAGGCTGAAGATTTTTTCCACCCAGTACAAATCATTTTTTTTAAATTTTACCTAATGCAGTAAACTTTAGATTAACTAATCCTTATTCTGTTTTTATGTACAAATTACAGTTTATTCATTCTCAGTTATCTTAACCCGTCTAAGTTTCAACTATTTTACAGTTATTCAAATTTTTTGAAGTTGAAAACATTGTAAGTCAAATTGTCATAACTGTTTGTTGTTAGTTCTGACATTACAATTCTCTTGCAAGGCTGCAAAAAGCTATAACTCACTCAAAACGTTTCAGTCATGCTTCAAAACCTAGTTTCACCTTGGAAATCTTTCTTGCATACAAATATGTTTTGTTCTTTTTACCCTCAACTAGGGTAAAAAACTACAAAAAAAACCCTTTTGATCATATTGTTTTGAATAATACTCATTTCTGAATTGGGCCAAAGCACACACCGTGAGTGTATGTGTAAAACGTGACCACTAGAGGTCAGTAAAAGAACACAGACAGCTCAAAAGAAATCAGCTCGTTCAGTCTGTTAGTGAAGTGTTTTGACAACACTTATTGAACAAATCCTTGTCTTCATATTTATGAAACCTTATCTCCTAACAAACATAAACGAGTCATGCATGGTGTTGTTTTAGTGTTGTTACCTTTGACAACATTTAAGAAAAGTCCTTCTATCATGTCACGACAGACAGTGAGAGGAACACTTGACATAAACAAAAGGTTTCAGTGTGGACAGTGGTTACCTGCATTAGAGGT